AGATAGCACCTTTCATAAGTTGGCTAAGAAAGGCAGTTCAAAGCAAGTTCGCCCACAAGCGCAAATATCTCTTCCACGAACCAGGTTTGATTTTTAAATGAGTTTTGGAAACAAATTGGAGAAAATCACAACCTAGAAAGAAATACATCTTGTATGCTTTACAATTAAAAAAACAAAAACTTTCAGGATTTGTCTCCTCATTCTTACTCCCTCATGCTTTTAAAAACACCAAGTTATTTGTAAATTATAAAATGCCCTGAAATTATGATTAGCTTCCTGATTTCTAGAAAGCTAACTAAAGCAATACATAATCCACAAAACTTCTGAAATAAGTCCCATCTTTCTTACAACTCGAAACATGCCATGCAACGCTCATGTGTACACCTGTGTCTCCTCATTTTTGGAAAAAAGGGAACTACAACACTGTACTTTTAAAATACCACTTGCCAAATCCAATGTTATAAAGAAGGCAGTGCTGCCAGTCAAGATGGGTTAACACCACCTATATGTCAAGGTCTACCATCACACTCCAAAGTAAGGGAAAGCACCAATGAGGCAAAAAATGGTACGGCAAAGGCTTCTAGATGAACAACACTAGTTTAAGTCTTAAATCTACAGAAATATTTTTTGAAGAACCTTTAAAATGCTGCCCACTGTCTGTGTACTTGAAAACTTCATCCTATACTGAGCCTGGGGGAAGAAAAACTTGAATTTTCAAGAAACTTGATTTCACGCAAGACTTTGCAGGCTCATGCACTGACTAGCTCAAGGTCAGCTTTCATACAGTAAGTGCATAATAAGTGCTGGCTGAATTCAGTTGCTTCTTAGAGCACATTCTTACAAAACAAATGAAACCAGGCTTAAAAGGAAACCACCATCCCTTGAGGGCTCTTGGCAAAAACTCTAAGGCAACAAGTGAAAATGATACAGTTGATTTTCATTACTGCTCTGATCTTGCAACAATAGGAAGGGCAGGAAACATTTTTATTAGTAAACTAAGCCTTAGACAAAGACCAAAAGCAAATGTAAACAATTATTCTCTAGGTCTTTTCCTATTGAAAGCCAAGGTTAAATTTGGATAAATGCACACACTTTCAAAACAAAAACATCTTTTCCATATTTTAAAATCTTTTGTTCTGTAAGGAATTTTAATTATATAAAAATCACTATATAGTTGAAACAGTGTATCCTAAAAAGACTTTCTCCTGCTCAGACCCTGGAACTATGTAACAAATAAACAACAAAGAAAAGAAACAGCTACACCTCATTAAAATGAACTGTTCATCCTCAGTCCTTACTACCACTTGTGGTCAATATGGCGTATGAAAAAAGTGTTTAAAACATCTTGAAACAGCAATTTATTTCTTTGCTGGAAAACACACATAATAAAACTTGAAATACATAATAAAAATACATCATAATAATACATAATAAAAAATGGCTGTTCAGACTCCCAGGCATTCAGACTCCCAGCTCCTAAACTCTGTCTTGAAAAAAACCATTATTTCAAATTCAATTGAGGTTTCTATTGTCAAAAATCTGCCTTCCACTAGCACGTGTTTTTTAAATCCAGCTCCTCAATCTCTAACTGAAGCTACACAGAACCAAGATTCTTTTTTTCCTGCTTGCCCATTTCTACCACAGCATTGAATCCCTGCTAAGCTTCAATTATCAGTTTGTTGTATTGCTGCAACTCACGGATCTGAAAAACTTATAAATGAAAAGAGAGAGACCAGCCTGCCAAATACACTACACAATTGTAATGTAATTTAAGGTAGCATAACAAGTTATTTTCAACCTTATCACATTTCTTAAAAAAAAAAAGTTTATTGAGATATAATTCACATACCATTAAAGTCCCCGATTTAAAGTATATAATTCAATGGTTTTAAGTAACTTCAGAGCTGTGCAACCATCACCACAAACTAATTTTAGAACAAATTTTCATCACCCCAAAAGGAAATCCTATGCCCACTACCAGTCACTACCCATCCCATCGCCCCTCAGCCCCTGGCAACTGCTCCTCTACTTTCTGCCTCTATGGATTTGCTTATTCTGGACATCTCACGTAAACGGGATCATACCATATGTGGTCTTTCGCAACTGACTTCTTTCGCTTTTTGTGGTATTTTTAAGGTTCATCTATTCAACCTTGGCATATTTCCTGGAGTTTTCTAATGTTTTCGACAAATCAAACATATGACCTTTTAAATTTCAAATCCTGAACCAAACCCCACCCACCCTTCCACGAAATACCATTTACTCGTCACGTCGCTCTAGAGAATCTAAACTATAATTTGCTTTTTAGGTTCTTCCAAAAGTTCTTTTTCTGGGTTCTCCTTCTGGTACTAAAACACTTACTTCTTTAAACACCAACATGTCACATACCTACATTTCTCTGACAATAGGATGCCTGGGGTAGAAAGATGACTGAATCCTTTTAAGGAGATGGCCGACAATAAATGCAAAGTCCATGCTGACTTTTTAAAAAGAAAATAGTTATCAGATTGTCTGACTAGCACCCAGAACGTCCAAACCTCCTTTATTTAGATGCTCTGTTCGCATTATGGTGACACAAAACACATCCATTCATACGACTGCTCCTGCTGCAGAAACTAAGTTTTCTAAGCTAAACACCACACTCTTTCTACTGCAATCTCTAGTCTCTCAATATGCCAGCAAACTACCTGCAACTGAACCAACACCACCCCGTCTTTATTTCTATACCCGACAACAGCTGAAAGAATGCCCTCCTGATAGGGTTAGGCAGCTGTTTCTATCAGAATTAAGTGGTCTAGCACCTTCCCAGCTAAAAACTTAACGCACGTTCACAGACATAGTTTTTAATCCTCCACATCTCAGAGATGGAGGGAGAGGCAGGTACTGAGTCAAGACTTCAGCAAACCATCATTGAGATTTGGGGTGCCTTCTGCCCACCCATCAGGTTTCAAGAAACTAACCACTGTAAAGGGATCCCTGGGGGAAGCTTTGGCATCATGGAGTAAAAACATACATTAAAACAACCCCTCCCCTCCTGTGTTCTCAAAAATCGCCGTCTTTTACAAAGAATATCCTTCAGGAACACTCCAAAACAAAGGCAGCCCGACTCCTGCGTCGGAGAAGGCCACCCCTGCTATTCTGAATTTAAAAACATTAAAAACACAAAACCAGAGAAACTATACAGTTCAACTGCATACCATAATAAAATGGATTATTTCTCCAGTGTCTTCTAACCCATACTTATCTTTTAAAGATAAAAGCCCTCCTTTGTCCCTCCAAACACCACCAAAACTAAACGCCTTAGTAAAGGGAGCCGGAAGGCATTCGCCCAATGGAGTCTGCTGAAAGTTTAGAAAACAAAGAGGAGAGTCCAGATCTGTGTACCGTCCGGCCCGGTCCGCGTCCCACTCTGCAGTAAACCCGTGAACCACGATCTGCTCTGGTTCCATCGCGGATTCACTTCTTTCGAGACGTTTAAGGATTTGTTTATGGAAACAGCCTTTCTGAATTGCCCCAGTGATGGGGCCAGACAACCCCCGCTGCCTCCTACTTCTCTCTCCCTCACTCCTGGAGGCTCAGTCGTGATTTTTTCAAAGTTAATTGGCACCACCTGCATACCCTCTGCAACCGTTACTCACCAACACGCCCTCACCGTTCCCAGTCCCCGTTCTGCGACATTTAAACTTTTAATCGTGTTCAAATTACTCTACCATCTTGAATGTACCAGGAAGCCACACTTTCCATTTTTTTGAGAAGAATAAAACCCCCACCTCCTCCCGCCGCACACCCTGCGGGGAGTTCTCACTCCCTGAATCCCCGCGTTTCCCTACCTACCCCCACCCGACACCATCAAAACAAAAGCAACCAGATTGCAAAAGACAGCGAGTGTGGGGCGATAGTGCTTATTAACTACGTACAAAGGAAGTGCGGGGGCGGGAAGGTGGGCAACACCACGCCGGCCACAATAAAACCAAGGCCAAGGCTTCGCGCTCGCAAAAACAAAACACCCTCCCCCCGCCGCAGCAGAACCTGGCGCTCCTGAAACCACAGCGCACGACACCTCTCACCAGGTCCGGGCGTCTAGGTGTCCCCGTGCCGCAACACCCCGCGTTGCGAGCACGTGTGTCGGAATGCACGTCGGCTCCGACTACACACCCACCAACGCACATTTGGATGCGGCCCTAATACCCCTCCATCCCCCGGCCCGGGAGAAACTGAGAGACCGTACCAGAGCTCTCTAAACTGGGGGCCCAGTGGCCTCGCATTTCCCAGGGGGCTGCCCAGAGAGCGCTTCCTCACCCCACCGCCCAGCCCCGGGACGCCAGGAGCAGGTAACCCGCCAAGGAGCGAGGCCAAGTAACTGGCAAGGCCAGGAACCCGAGGAGCCCGAGGGGCAAAGGACGTTACGCGATGAGAGGCAGCGCCGGGCGCTTGGAGAAGTGTCCTGGGGCTTCAGGGCCTCTCCACAGGGCACCTCCCCCTCCAAGGGCAACTCGCACCCCGCGGGCCGGGCGGCTCCCCGTGCCCCACCCCCGGGTCAGCCCCAGCAACGAGGACGCGGTTCGGCTCAGGGTGCTGTCCCCGCTGCCTGCGCGCCGCACCCGGTCAGCGCTGTGTGCAGAGCGGCTAGCGCGCCCGGGAGAGGCGAAGTGCGGGTGGCGGGGCCCGGGGCCTCGCGGAGCCTGCCCCGACACCAACTTCCCCACCGAGTCCTGGCGCCTGGCGGGAGAACAGGACTGCCGAGACATTAAGACAGAAAGCCTCCGCGGCCCTTCCTGAGCGGGGATGCGCGGAGCCAGGGCCCACGAGGCCCTGAACGAAGGATCCCGGGTCCCGGGTCCGCCGCAGCCTCCCTCCCGGCAGAGCTGCTCCGCGCCCCGCCGCTCCCGAGTCCGGGGACCCGACAGCTGCGACAGCGGCAACTCGGGTTTCGCAAACAAGGCGCAGCCCCTCGGAGGAAAAGTTCCCGCAGTGGCCGCGGGCGGCGGGCACATACTCACTTTCTCCACTCGTCGGCCAGAGCACGAGCACGGTGGAGAGAAACAGCAGTCCCCACAGCGAGGTCGGGGACCCTCCTCCGGAGCTAGACTTCATTCCTTTTATTTGGAACGAAATTCCCCTTTCTCAAAAAAAAAAAAAAAGGGAGGGGGAAAAATGGGAAAAGAACGAGAAGGAAACAAGTCTCCAAGTCAGTCTTCGCTCCCCCTCCAAAAACAAGGGCGAAGGAAACAATAGTCCGAAGGCGGCGGCGCGGGGGCCCTCGGGGTGCGCAGACCGGGCGGGAGGTGCGCGACGGGGCGGGAGGTGTGGGGCGGCCCCTCAGCGCCGGCAGCAACGGCCCAGGGCTTGGCGAAGCCGAGAACCCGAGGCGCGCCGGGGCGGGCAGCTGGCGTCGTCGGCGTTCATTTTCAAACCCGGAGAGGCAGGAAGCGGGGAAAATGCAAAGAAAGGGGGAAAAGCCCAAATCTGCCTCGCCGAGAAAAACAAGCCCTGCCCTGGCCGCGCGGGAGGCGGCTGGACGCCCGAGCCTCGGCGGCGGGAGGGCGCGACGCAGTTCGCTAGATCGCCCCGAAGTCCGGGTGGCAGGCGAGGCCACGGAGGGGCAGAAACGCGGAGTCAAAATGAATGAGCGGCTCCCCCTCCTCCTCCTGCTCCTCCTCCGGGCTCCGCTCGCCGCCGCCTCCTCCCTCAGCGCCGCCGCCGCCGCCGCCGCCGCCGCCGCCGCGAGCTCCTTCCCAAATCCAGGACACACACAAAGCGGCGGGCCGTCCGCGCGGCGCTCAGCACTCCCGCCGCGCCGCCCCGCTCCACGCCGCCGTCCGCCCCGCGCGGGCCCCCGCCCGGCCCCCGCCCGCCGCCGCCCGCCGCCGCCTGCTCTGCGCGGGGGCTCCGGCTCGCTGAAGGTCACGGCCGAGGCGAGGCGCGCCGTGGAGCTGCCCCCGCGCGGGAGGGGCGTGGAGGGCGCGGGGGCGTCCGGGGAGCGGGGCTGAGGGTCTGCGAGCGCCGGCCGCGGGCAGGCTCGCTGGCGGCGTCCCTCTCGCTCGCCCGCCTGTCTCGAGTTCGCCCGGTGCGCTCGCTCCTCGTCGAGTTTTTTCCCCGTTTTTTTCCGCTCAGCGGAGTTAAGGCTGGTAAACAAGAGCCCCAGCCTCGCCGCGCCGCCGCCGCCGCCGCCGCCACACACTGGGGGCTCGCGCGCGCGCCCGGGGTCGCGCACACGCGCCCGCTCGCACACTCGAGCGGCCACCGCCGCAGCCGCGCCGCGCCGCGCCGAGAGCCCGGCCCAGGCCGGCGCGCGCCAAGAGCCGGAGCCCGGGATCCCCGAGACGTGCGGAGCGGATCCCGGGCGTGGGGCGCGAGACTGCGAGGCGCCGCCCCCACCTCCCGCCCCGCCGGCTCCCGCGCGCACACACAGACACGCGCGCGCGCCCACCCGCTCTCGCCCCCACCGCACTGCGCCGGCCACCCCGCACGCGCCCTCCCCTCCCGCCCGACTCCAAAAACAAAGCCCCCGGCGCCGGCCCGGGCTTGGCCGGGCAGGGGCGGATGGGCGGGGGCAGGCTGGGCTGGGGCTGGGGCTGGGGCTGGGGCTGGGGCTGGGGCTGGGCCAGGGAGGGGACGTGGGCGGGGAGTGCGGGGCTGGGAGAGGTTCATTGAAAACAACAACAGCGCGGCTGGAAAGCGCGACTCCCTGGTTCTTGAAAAGCTTCATTGTTTTTTGCAGCTGTTGCAAAATAAATAAATAAGTGCGGGCATGCGGCTTTTTTTTTTTTTTTTTTTGCTGCGTGCTGGAAAGCCCGAACGTAGCGGTAGGGGCGCACCTGGGAGAAAGGGGACCTCCAGGCTACTACGCCGGGCACTTTCACGCCAGGCTGGGACGCCTGCGGCGTCGCGACCGGGGAGCTTGGAGTTTCAGGGCTCGCGGGGAGCGGAGGGGAAAGGGCGCGGCCCGTGTGGCTCGGCCTGGCGCGGGGGGGGGGGCGCGAGGAGCGAGGACCCTGCCGCCGCCCCTGGCGGGCCCCGCGCCCCGGAAGGGGGCCCAGACAGGCGGCCTCGCGTGCCCAGGGCGCGTCCCCGCGGTGGCCGCCAGAGGGCGCGGCGAACGCCGGGGAGGGCAGCCCGCGGAGAGTCGCCTCCCTCCCTCCGGGGGAGGAAATGTGGAGGCCCGGGCTGGGGGCCCACTCGGCTGGGTCGCGCCGTCGGTGTCTCCCGGTCCCGCGGCCCTCCCCAAGCGCCCCCCGCGGCCTCGCGCGGCTCAGGGCTCCACCACGTGGGCGGCGACGGGGAGAGGCCGGGCGCGTGCACGCTGCGGGGCCGCGGGGCCCCGAAGCTTGGGGGGCGTGTCTCGGTCCCGGGGCCCCGAGTGGGGGTGGAGGCTGGGGCCGGAAAGCCTCCCTTGGCCGCCGTCCCGACCAGGGAACACCCCGCCTGCACTCGGGATCGGCGGCCACTGCGGAAACCCACCCGCACCTGTCTCGGGTCCTCCCGGGCACGTTCCTCTCGCTTCTTTTGCTACGTGAGTGTCTAGAAACCAACACCGACCCTAAGTCTCCGCGGTGGTTTTCTTGAATGTGCAGGAGAGGTTTCCCCAAAGCGAGACTTCCCTAGGACTGCCATCTAATGAATACATGCTGCGGAGACCAGGTCCTCAAAGGGGGAGACAGCTCAGCAGTGGCAGGAGAGAGGAGTTTGGGATACGTGGGCTTTTACAAATAGTGATTGGACCCCGTGTCGTCCTTAATGTGGTCGGGTTTCATGACTCAGGCTAGTTGATGTCAGTAATAAATTTTTTTTAAGATGGCTAATAAAAGAGTTGTGAATTGTCTAGATAAGAAGTGGTTGTCTCCTAAACCATCGGGCAAGATAGTAAGAGGGGAACTGATGTAAAGGAAGGTAGTAGGTTTCTTTTGTTACTCTCTAATTCTAAAAGATTTCTGCATTAGAATGTGTATCCATCGTTCGTAAATAATTTTTTAAATTAAGAGCTGAAAACAAAAGCTATCATAACGGGAACTTAGCCATTTTTTTTTCTTCTAAAGTTGTTTCCTAGATCATTTTCCACCTCGGAAAGTTCTGGCTGGATTCAGTGAGTCAGTTGTATAGAAGGAAAATAAACCCTGTTTTACCTAAGAAGTTTATTCATATGGTGGGATGGTTTTGTTTAATGGAAATTCAGCTTGATTTTTAAATAAAGTGTTTTAGTTTTAGATGTTCCTGGATTTAACAGAGGAAGAAATCTATTAGAATCTTAAACTTAGAATGTTTAAAAATTAGGCGCTACCCATGCAGAATTAAGTCCAGTCTACTAATTTGAAAATATTTCTTCAGAAAGTTATCTGCATGAGGTTGGTCTTGATTCCTGCAGATCCATTCTGGAGTTAAATGCAAAGGAATATTGATATATAATTTCGTTATACTTAATTTCAGAATTTTTAATACATGTAAGACAAATTCAGAACTGATTTTTAAAAGGCTAGTGCTTATATAAAATCTTCAAATACTACCCAATATATTTTTAGTATTAGTAATAAATATGCCTGTTTATTTGTCCCCAGCAACATAAAGAGGTATATGGAATTTTTAAATGCATACATGTTTTTGTAGGGGTTGTGGGATTTACTTCTGTGTGTGTGTGTGTGTGTGTGTGTGTGTGTGTGTGTGTGTGTGTTTCACTAAAATGATTTTCATTTGTGATTTTTTTTAATGTTTGTGTTTTCCTGAAGTAGGAAATTAATAATATCAAGTTAGTTTAAACAGTGAAGTGAGCTGTGTATCATTATATAGCTTAATATTTAGGAAAAAATAAAAATTTAGGTTGTCTTTAGGCTCTGTCTTGACCACATGGACAAAGAAGGAGATTTGTATTTTATTCAATGATTATATTCTACATACACAAGTCAAACTTATTTTTTCAACCTTGAAATAAAATCATGTAGACAAACATTAATTGGAGTCTTTCCTTTACACCCGCACTGAGAATGCACCACACTTTTTATTTTACACCATTTTCCCCAGGTATCTTATAGATTCTCCCTCTTTTGGAGCAGAAATTGGTTGCTTGTTTTCATTTCTTAAAAACGCTGTTTACTTCATAACAGTTTTATCTCAAATTATTCTGCTAAATGTACCAGACTCCCCAAAAATGTTGTGTATATTATATACATCAAATGCAAATATGAGAAACAGCACAACTAACAATTGACAAGTGTTACAAGTAATACATTATGTTGTGATATATTTGCAGAAAGGAATGTTACTCAGCAGCAAAAGTGAATAAGCTACAACCCTGCACAACATGGGCAGATCTTTGAAACACACTGATTAAAAATCCGTAGGTATCAAAGACACACACAGCATGATACCATTTTGATAAAGCTCTTAAAGGCAAGAAAAACTTTAAAAGTTACAACAAATTTTTTATAGCAATCCCTTGCCTCAAATACATAAATAAAATATTTTTGGTTTGTTTTGCTTTTGTTTTGGCAAAAGGATTAATGAAGGATGTGAATTCCTTTGGAGAGGATGGAAAGCCCATGGGCACATGGGTTTCCATTGTAATTTGGAATGCGTTCACTCTTGGATTGAGTGATGGATTTGCAAATTTCCATTTTATAATTATGCATTATAACTAACACATATGTTCTACATATTTTTGTATGTATAAAACATTAAAGGAGATAAATAAAAATATGAGAGAGATCCATGAAAGAAATCATTCTGGTTTTCCAGTGGGAGTCATTCATATTTCACGCTATTTGTATAAACAACTCGGAAGCATTAAAGATCTGCTAAAACGACACAGTTAATCAAGGTCTGATCCTTTAGCTATTTCAGAGGAATTTCACTCATATAGTATCGATGGAATTTAAGGCAAAAATCCAAAGAAAAAATTTAAAAGACCTCACTTCATAGGTAATAAAGTTCATTAAGAGTGCATGATTTAAACTGACAGTTTCTTAGGTTAAACATACAACTAACTTACAATCCAGCAAGTCTACCCTTAGCTATTTACCCAAAATAATTAAAAATATGTTCACAAAAATATCTCTATGGAAATGTGGATAGCTGCTTTGTTCATAATAGCAAAAACGGAAACAACCCAAATATAAATCAAAGGGAGACTAGATAAACAAATCATGATGT